CATGCATATCACCCTCAGTCTTTCATGCATATCACCCTCAGTCTTTCGTGCATATCACCCTCAGTCTTTCGTGCGTGTCACCCTCAGTCTTTCGTGCGTGTCACCCTCAGTCTTTCGTGCGTGTCACCCTCAGTCTTTCGTGCGTGTCACCCTCAGTCTTTTGTGCGTGTCACCCTCTGTCTTTCGTGCGTGTCACCCTCCGTCTTTCATGCGTGTCACCCTCCGTCTTTCGTGCGTGTCACCCTCAGTCTTTCATATATATCACCCGCTGCCTTTCATGCAAAAGTTTCATTATGAAAAACGATGGCATTGAAGCCGTTTTTATCAAATCTTGAAAACGTTATACACAATTAAATGCAATGATCCAAGATGTTAAAACTCAAATTAATTGTTTCATAATGGCGCTCAGCTTCAACAAGAACACATTTTAGCTCACTATCTGTAAAACTTAGTCATTTTTGTGTTTGTTAAAGTTGATTAGCTGTGGCAGCCATTTTTAATTGGCTATAAAAATTAATTGGTTGTAAATGTAGGTCGTATGAGTTCTAAGCAAAGATCTTGTGCGATGAGTTGGAGTATGTGTTGTGAATGTCTCTGAGCTACAGTCACAACAACTGTTAGCACAGTTTATGTAAAATGCACCGTGTTTTAGCCCGTTTTCTGGTCAGCTAGCTGTGGCAGCCATCTTGAATCAGTTGTAGAGGTACATCTAATGATTTGTCCCTGAGAGTTTCATTAAAATCTGTTCTGTCATTCATGAAATATTTTGCTGACTGGACAGATAAATTAACCATATACACACAGGTAAAAACATTAATACACTTTTGCTTTAAGATAAAAAATGTCTGGCTTCTTGGAAACAAAACAGACTTTTGTGCACCGTTTTATGTATATGTGCATTTTGTATTTTTGAAAGTATGCAGCAGCTGCACTCATGTAGTTAGTATAATTTATCACCGTTCAATAAGCAGAGAGGAAATGAGAAGGAGAAGTAAACATTCACACACACAACATACTCCGCTGTTCTTCTGGACATCTCATCATCAGGAATGATGTCAAAGAGCTGCAGTGTAACGTCAGACACACCACCAACAGGAAGTTAGTCTCATCAGACCATCATAAATTCTGACTGGGTTTCATTTATCTCCCATTATTCTGTCAAACACATTGCATTCACCGGCCCATTATAATTTAAAATCAACCGTAACATATGCAGCACTTGTTTGCACCAATTTATTTTCAGTACAAGAATAGAAAAAAAAGAACCTCAAGCCTTTTCTATTATTTCAGTCAACGCTAAAAGAAAATTAAAGACACGGCATTCATTGAAATAATGCATATCACCCGTGGCCTTGCAAGCCATCATTTTAAACAAAGCTCTCATATGATCACTTTTAGCTCAGAGTTTGTGTTGAAGATGACTCTCCACTACAACAGCAACAAGTCTTAGCTCAATCACTATAAAACTACCTGGTTATAGTAGTTTTAGTAATGCAAATCATTTCAAAATAAAACCAAAAGTAAAACTAGCTGAAACGCCTAAAATGAGAATACATTGGACATGACCAAACTAAAGACAAAAACATGCCCAAACCCCTAAGATCATGACACAACGAAGATGAAACCCACGGAACAAATCACTTCCTGTAGTTTTGACAGACAATGTGAATCAGAAATCTCATGTGAAAAAAAAAATACTTTTCTTAAACTAGAAAAACTGCAATGTCTGTGAAATGCAGTGTGAACACTAAGAGCTGAATGACTGCTTACATCTGCTAAAGAAGCTGAAGCTGAACTGTTAAAGCTGCAAGATGCCTAACACTACCAATAAGCTAAAAATACCAAAATACTATGTAAAAGCTACAAGGTGCAAAACTCTTAGCTAAAAGCTAAAAGCATCAAAATGTTACCTAAAAGTCAGAAGTATCTAAACATAAGCTAAAAGTCTAGTTAAAATGTGGCTAGCTAAGTAGTAATGAAAAACGGCAAATATTTAGTTAAATATCAAAGTAGCATATGACTAGTTAAAGTAGAAAATTAGCTAAAAGCTAAAATAGCAAAAGCAGCAAAATGTTAGCTAAAATCTAAATGTGGCAAAATATTAGCTGAAAGTTAAAAGTAGCATTGGAAGACAAAAAAGGAGCATGTGTACTGAAGCAGATTTCAATGGAACAATGGTTTTAAAGGATTTGAATAGAGCTGAATGTGTTTCTGTGGGTATAATATTTGTAAATAAAGTTAAATAATTTGAAAAGTATAAAAGTTACAAAACAAAACTCATTGCACTCATCTCCTGAATGAGATATTTGTTATATGAATGGTTAAAATACAAAGTATGCAGAAGTAGTTACATTGTAAAAATGGACCACAATAGCATGAATGCTGCATCATAAATAAATAAATAAATAAAACTTCTCCTAATTGACCCCTGGCTTCATGGTCCGACAGCCCTCACGCTCACCTTGGACACCAAATTAAACCAGACCTCAGACGTGTTACCTGATTTAGTCACAATAAGCGTTGCAGCTTTTCTGTAAAAGCCTGAATAAAAACATGAGCTTTTACAGGATATTTCTGCTCAGAGAACCAGCTCCAAGTGCTGATGATCGTCCAAGCGGTTCCAGCCTCAGAGGCTCACTGCAGCAGCCAGAACCAGAATAAAGCCAGAGCACAGAGTGATTGCAGATTATTAATGTTTATCTGGCAGGCAGGAAGAGTTTGGACCGAACGGGACTAATTGGCTTCAGGACAACCATAACAGGTTCCATCTGTTGGTGAAACATTCTCCGAGACTCAGACGCTGTTGTCTCACAACTTTTACTTTTTTCAGTTTCTTTTAAGTTGCATTTTTATTGCCTTTTTTCCATTTCAGTAATTGGTGTTCTTTTAATTCAACTTTTCTTGGGTCATGCTGAAAGTTCTGACAAGCACAAAGACATTCTGGAAAGTTATTACCTCGTATGTGTTTATAGTTATAATACCACTTCAGCCAGCAGCTTGCTAACTTTTCCTAGCATAAAGATTAATTGGATGTTACACCGCATTGTTAGCAAAATATCTAATAAACTCTGAACTGCTTTTAATAAAACTTCCAGGAAATAATAGTTGGATGCAACTCAACTGATTAAATTCTGAAGTCAACCCAATTCAAAAGGGCATTAGGAAACACAAAATGGTTATATTTTGTGAAAACCTTTAGATAAGGTATAAAATATTGATGTGGTTGTAGCTGAAAGTAATCCCTAACATATATGTCAAGGGCTAATACCTCATGCAAGGTCTTAAAATGTTGGTATGGAAGGTAGTGGGCAACATATTTTCCTTTAAGTTATACTAGTTTTTAATTTATTAAAGTTAATGTTGGGGGAAGTTATGTAAAGGTCAATGATGTTATCACTTACTAATGTCAAATTTAATGTAGAACCACGTGTGTGAGTTAGTTATTTTGTCTGAACAAAGTGGAGCCTGAAGGAGCATGGAGCCTGTGCACCTGATAAACTTCAAAAGCCCCTAAGCTGGAAAGCAGAGTTGTCTTGACCTCACCTTTTCTGAAAAGCGTTATAAGTACATGCTTCTTTATGCTGTCTGTGGGCAGACCTTGTAACCGAAGCTTCAATATCCCAGTGCTGTACCCTTTGTAAGAAGTAAACCTGGGTTGAAAAGATCTCCTTGCATTCTCTATGTTGCTTATTTAATTAATGAGTTGATAATAGGATAATTAATTTATCCAAAATATTTGGTCCTTCGAGCCGGATACGTATGGCATGTCTGTGTTCATATGTTTCTCAGCTCAGTAAACTGTGGTGGAGCTGAACTCTTTTGCTGCACCACCAAAAATCAAAACAGATTTGTTAAAAACAAGCAACTTAAAAACAGAATTTGGTCATTCTATAGACTAACTTCAATTTGAAGGGTAGTACAGGAAAAAAGTAATTAAAACAGATAAAATTAACAAAAACCCCACTCTCCAAACAATATCAGAAAGCTGAAACTGTTTGGATGTGTGAAGCTGCAGAGCTCCTGTCAGACATTAAACCCACTTCTCATAACGGGAGCCTCTGCAGATCGGCCGTCCCGCTGACAGATGGTATCTGTTGGTTAATGTGTCAGCTGATGAGGAAAACAATGACTCCAAAGTTTGAAATGGACTCAAAATAAAAAAAGAAAGTTTAGTGTTTTGTTACACCCACATCGGAAAACCCCTTTCAGGGAAATAACTGGACTTAATGTTTGTTGTTTTTGCTCTGAAAATGAAAACTCTGTGATGCAGGTCATTTAAAAGTAATCTAATCAGCCTCTGCTGAATGTAGAGGATACATATAATATCCTACATCATGGAATGATTATAATTTTTTATATACTAAATCTCTACAATAAGCAGCTCACTTACAGGACAGTGTTTTCTTTAAAATCACAGCGAGGAAGAAATATTTTAGGAAACCATAACGAGTTTATAAAATGTTAACAATATTTACTTGATGATAAATTACCTAGTTTCACAACAGATTTTTTTTCTACACTATACAGTTTAAGATACATCTTATTAATATAAAATAAACAGTATTCATCATATCCCCTTAATGTTGCCTGTCTAAACCAGTCTTGTATTTTTGTCTACTATTAAATAAACAAGAAATAAAGTTAAGATTTTGTAGGGTATACAAGTTTTTGATGATTTGGTACAACAAGAATGTATTAATTATAGGTATAAGATAAATAAATCTATCCATTCATCCATTATCTTTTACTCTCTCCTTCCTTTTCAAGTCACGGGGTCACTGGTGCCCATGTTTAGCCATCACTGTGCGAGGGGTGGGGGACATCCTGGACAGGTCTCCAGTCCATCACAGGGACACATAGAGACAAACAACCATTCACTCTCTCACTCACACCTAGGGACAATTCAGAGTTACCAAACAGCCTAACATGCATGTTTTTGGTCTGTAGGAGGAAACTGGAGTACCCGGAGAAAACCCATTTATGCACTGAGAGAACATGCAAACTGGTCTAAGATACAGTGAGTGAAAAATAGTCTGCAAGTCGCATTTAATTTATTTCTTCTGACTCTTTCAAAATGTATCCAATTAGACCAACAGTATATTTTGCATTGTGCAGGAAAGTACTCTGATAGGAACCCAGGCTCAATAACACTGTAGAACACATGGATCTATATTGTTTATTTTATTATTTGTTGGTGCCTTTAAGCTTATTTCAGTCAGGTTCTCTTTTTAATCTGCTGTGTGTGCATCTTATTACTTGCAATCTACTGTTGGATGTTTAGGGGACGTTTGATCCTAAAATGATGCAAACTAGTCAAACTTGACATCAAAGTTCATGCTCAATCATCCAGGTACAAAATTCAATAATGGTCAGTCAGGTCACCTGGACAGTTTCTTTTTTGTGGAAAGACATTTTGCCCTCTATATCCGGAGGGCTTCATCAGTTTGAGGAGTCCCAAGTAAACAGTTTTTCCCCACTAATCAGGACACTCCTTTAGTGGACCAAACAATTTGCTGGTGATAAGATGGTTTCTGGGGGCTGTCCTGTCCCCCGTCAACTCCTCCCAGGCAGGCAACCACAGCCAAAGTGGTTCAAGACATCAAAGTTCATGCTCAATCATCCACGTACAAAATCCAATAATGGTCAATCAGGTCATCTAGACAGCAAACTGGTTGGTCCAATAAAGGAGTGTACTGCTTAGTGAGGAAAACAGTTTACTTGGGACTCCTCAGACTGATGAAGCCCTCTGGATAGAGGGCGAAACATCTTTCCACAAAAAATAAACTGTCTAGATGACCTGATTAGCCATTATTAGTCATATTGGATGGATGTGTTCAACAGTCGGTGAGTAAGACTTGAACACCGTAGTAGAGCGAAGACGTACAGGACCAGCAGTCACAACCTTTAAACTCAGGAGCTATGAATAAAATGCACAGAAAGACAAGACAATGTGCTCATTGAGGCGTCATGCACAGCAAACATTTGTGCTGCAGTAAGGAGGTTTAAACCACTGTGCAGTACAAACTAAAGCTCAAAGTCGTTAGCTTCTCGCTATTTACAGCTGTTTTGGTAAAACAAAGGAGCTAAATGAGCAGGTGCTGCTCATCAATCTGCATCAAATGCTACTTTTTCCAATTACGCAGCAAAAAGTTTGAAATGATTTCAAGAAAATGTAAAACTCTTTTAAAATGCAGCAACTTGTTTTCATTGTCTAAAGTTGAAACTCAAACACAAATTGGAGTTCATAGACACTTCAAGACAAATGTTTTGTTGCTGTAAAGATTTAAATATGAACAGGAGATGTTAAACTGATCCAAAACCTTCCCACAACTATGAGCCTTTCAGCTACATAGTCCTGTGAAGCAGGTTTATTTAATGTTAAAACCCAGCCCGTGTGAAAGAAACGCAGGCACCAAATACATGCTCTGAAGTAGCAAAAGATCCAAGTCAATCGACAAGTAATAAACCAACCGTCTGAGATCTGAGGTAGAAAGATGCACAGCGTTATGTGATATTTCTTACAGCGTACGGCTCATGGACTCAGTCCAGGTTTCTTTCTGTGAAACCTCAAACATCTCAGAGATGTGAGGAAAGAACTGGTCTTTGACGGTTCTGTTCTGGGCAGAAACGGCATTCATGTGGTCGAAGGATCAAGTCGATTTGACGGCACGGGCAGAGTTCACAGAAAGCTAGGGTGAGGTAACAAAAAGAGAAAAATAATGAAAGAAAAAAAGGAACGTTTGTTTTTCTAGTTCTATCCCGACTGAATTCTTTAACATACCTTTAAAAAAAACGTTTTTCTTCTTAAAGCAACAGACTTTGACAAAAACATGGCAATAGGATCCACATGTAGGTGTTTCATCAGCTCTGAACATGTCTCTTATGCAACGTTAAAAGAAGAGAAACGGAACAACAAAGTGCAGTTTATGGTCTCTGTCTGTTAGCAAAAAATCTCAACAACTGAATGATTTTAATGGAACTTTAATTTTTACAGTTATTGAGCTAAACTCTCAAGTGGTAGTAGGTGAGAGTCACTCCTAAAACATGCTCTTGTTGGGTTTGTGGAGAACTGGACCCAAGTGCAGACTGATGAGAGGAGCTCGGAGGTTTGGGGGGGGGGGCGGAGGCTTTATTTGACAAAGTAAAACAAAAAAGTCTGTCATGGCAGCAAAAGTAAATTAACAAGGCAACTCAAACGATAAAACACAGGAATACAAGAGAAACAAACCTTGACGTAAATCACTTATAATGCAGATTTGATGCGTGGTGAAACAGAAGTCGGGCAGAGAAATGTGGATAATGGGCTGATTACTGATTGGGTACAGGTGAGGATGGCCGGGCAACTGGAAAATCACTGAGGAAGCTGACTGAGGGTAAATGAGAAACGGCACAAGGAACAGAAGCAGACCATGACCTACACAAGAATATTAAACAAACCTATAATGAAGTACAAAAACACAACTGGATCACAACCTAAACGAACAGGAACACACAAGCACCAGAACCCAAAAGTCAGAAACATAAAACATAAACCACACAAGGAATAAGAGTAAAATATAAACCTAAGGAACTAAATAAATAACAGAACAACTCTGAGCGTGAAATCATATGTGATCATGCAAAACAGCTGCAGAAAGAAAAGCTCTGCAGAGAGTGGTGAAGGCTGCACAGAAATCTGTTTGAGTCCGCCTCCCCACCATCACAGACATCTACACCTGCATCATGAAGGACCCCACTCACCCAGCACAAACTTTTTGCCCTGCTCCCCTCAGGAAGGAGGTTAAGGAGCATTAAGTGTAGAACCACTAGACTGAGGAACAGCTTCTATCCTGAGGCTGTTAGACTCATGAATCTCTAAGCAGAATAATCACTGTTAAAGTCACATCATGTTGCTGCTGATCCATTTCATGTTGCTGCTGATCTGTTTCATGTTGCTGCTGATCTGTTTCA